TTGGGATCCTTTTTGGTCTTCCTGTGCTATAGGGTCAGTCTTGCTATCAATTGTATTCTCTTTCTTTAATAAATGTTGTTTCTTTTTCACTCTCATTAATTAAGTCCTCATGGAATTAGCCTCAAAATTGAAACATTAAATTTAGATTAAAATCTAATTTCCTACTTGTACCTTTGAAAGAAGTCCATCTATATAATATAATATAAATCTTAAGTGTGCTATTCTTTCTACATTAGCAAGATTTTGTTTTTAAAGTGCCATATTGTATTTGGTCTCATTACTTCTGATACTTCAGTTTAATTCTTATAAACCTAAAATGCTAAATCTGCTAAATCACCATTTCCATAAGAACAAAATATTGCATCATAAATATATATCTATGACTTCCCCACAAGCTCTGGCAAGAGAAGAACCTGCACATAATAAAAGACACAGTTTTTTCTCTCCCTAAATGTCTCTAATAGCAACTCCAAAATATACAGTCTAATTCAGTAATGTACCATGTCAGAACACATACATAATAATCCAAAAATAACAGTTTGAATGTTTTTGCTTAGAATTTCATGTTAGAGATTTCAGGAATGTTTTCCTTAAAAATTATAATTAAACCCTGTCATCGGGGGCTGGTACTATGTTATAGTTTAGAAAATTACTTCCCGAGCCAATTGAGGTAATCACAAGGCATATTTCCTCCAGAGTTTGACTAATTTTCTATATGTACATGTGAGTACATGTGTGAAAGTAACAAAATAATGGGGTGTCCTCCCTATTAGTAGGAAGAAGATTCTTCAAGAAATATTATTACTGAGATTTTGTAGTAACTCCTATTAATTACACCAGATCTCTGGATAAAGTTAATGCTGTCATTATCATTTTTAATTTTTTAGCATGTTCACTTTCCATTATTACCAAAATATCTGAGTATCAACTAGCTCTAGGAAATGCTTTATCAATATCTTTTCACACACTGACATTTCAATCAATTTATAAATCTTCTTGAGATAGAAAAGTCATTTAGAAGCTCATACCTTAATTCTGCAGAAAAATGAATAATATACTACTACTAATAATATAATAATATTCAAATTATTATTATAACTAGCAGGTTTTGATAATAATTTCAATGAATTTTCAATTTTTAATTTCCCTTTACATTAAAAAATATATCTGCTTGACTATTTAAATTTGATAGAGCTTAAACATTTTTAATTTTGGGTTTGACCATGTTCCTGGATAAATTAAATACAATTAATATATAACAATATCTGAAGTACCAGCTTATCGTTATTCTTTTGATACCAGAAACTCAAAAATAAAATAATGTGAATATATGGGATAATGAGAAAGAGTTAGAATTATTCTGCGCCACAACAGAAATATCCTGATATTCATGTTTTGGAAAATATCATAATCCTTATAAAATCATCCATATTAAGATTAAAGAGAACTTGGATCCTCTATTCCCACAACTAGCTCATATGGAAAAGAGATCAGCCTCCAACTTGTATATGTAACATCTTTAACATTTGCTTTCTTTCTGTGCTTGTGATTAAATGTAACATTTTAAAATCCCAAAGTTCTAAGAAAAGCATAAATCCTTGTCTCACAGCTGCTATTTGACTCTGGAAGCACAGGCAAGCCTTAACCATCAAGAAATCCCAACAGATTAAGCTGGACAACACCTGTATCTCTTCATTTAGCTCCAATAACAAAGCATAAACTTCTGCATTACAAAAATAGATGCCATGTTCAGCTGCAGCTACATTTTGCTCCTAATTCCCGTGAACAAAAATGCTAAGAGCATGAAATCATCGAAGCAAGTTCTGTCATCAGAAGGATAAGATTTTTTTTTCTTTCTTTTTTGGAACAGAAATCCAGTGGGAACATGATAGAAAACCAGCAATAATTGCACATAAAGTATGGAGTGAAATCCTCAGGGAGAGAAGAGGAAGTGTAACAGGATAGATGAGTATAATTTTTATGCTTATGCCCAAACCATAAATGTGAATTGTCTTTAATTAAAAATTATTTAAGATAAATTGTTTTTAAAATTGTGTGTATATGTGTTGTGTAGGTGTTATGTACTATGTAACCTAGTAATATAAAATCATTCTTTTGCAAAACAAACTCCATCCGAATTAATTGCATCTTTGACCAAAAGTTGAACAGAAAAAAATGACAATTTCATTTTATTCAAACTTCAATACTAAGGGGAAAAAAGATTTGAGACAACCATCCTGAATTTTATGCCCATCTCTTCCTTTCTAATTAACCCCACTGAACAAAATTAACCTCTGCAACATATGGAGGTATCAAATAACATTGTTGCTGTTGTAATTTATGTTTCTGCAGATTTCAGTAAAAGAGTTGTACTTTACTGGGTATAATGAAAGAAATATATAATACTGTTCTTAAATCTATAATACTATAGATTTCAGCTTATAGAGTCACTATTTTTATTTATTCTATGCAATTTTTAAAATGTGCAAAAAAAATTAAATGACCCATTGATAAAAAAAATATATAACCTTCATTGTGGAAAAAGAATAAAATCATTTTTATAACAGGACCTCCTACTAGACCAGGCATCTTTTAATCCTCTAAATTTTACTCCTAAGTGCCCCTCAGCATTGGTCACGGTTCCTGGGGCTGCTGCCAGCAACATCTTGTTCCCTACAGCTGTCCTAGGCAGATTGGAGGGGGGTTCTTTTTGAGCGATGAAAAATGGGATCGAGAGGTTATAAATGACTCAGTAAGAAAAAGGACATTCTTTGTTAAATTCTCAGTTTGTTTGTTTTTCTAATTGACTTATCCCTTTATTATAAAATTCTTTCTGGAGATGAAACGTTTTTTTCTAAATTTGTAGAATTCTGTTTATTTCCTTTCTGGTTTATTTTCCCTTTGAAAGAACAGAGATCAAGCCAATTTTGAAATATCAACTGTATAGGCAGTCCTCGAGTTATGAATTACAACAGCCTCAGAAAGAATGCTTTGTGGCCCATAAACACTTCCCCAACACCTCTGCAGTCACATGATTGTAATCTGGGTACTTGGCAACCTATAGGCCAGTGTTTCTCAACCTTGACAATTTTAAGGCATGTGGACTTCAACTCCCAGAATTCCACAGCCAGCATTGTCAAGGTTGAGAAACAGTGCTATAGGCACTTACAAAGTTAATGGGGAAACCAGCAAGGAAGGTTGCAAGCTGTTGTCACCTGCAGAGAGGACTCCAGTTTATCTCTGGGGACTGGCTGAAAAAACTGCCTCATGAGGAAAGCTGAACACCTTTGGCAGGCTGAACACCTTTGCCTTTAATGGGTGGGGGGAGGCTTTGCGAGGCCTGGCGGAGATGGGCACATATGTGTCTCTTCGCACAGGGGCTGAAAATCCTGCTTGGATTTTGGCAGGGAGGATTTTCAGCTCTTCAGCAGGTCCTTCCAGGGTCTCTCCCACCCCCTGAAGCATCCAACACTCCTTACCTGGGCTACATCCACTTAAGAGCCTGGTGGCTCAGTGGTTAGAATGCAGTATTGCAGGCCAACTCTGCCCACAGCCTGGAGTTAGATCCTGATGAGGCTTAAGGTTGACTCATCCTTTCATCCTTTCAAGGTTGGTAAAATGAGGACCCAGATTGTTGGGGGCAATATGCTGACATTGTAAACCACTCAGAGAGTGCTGTAAAGCACTACGGAGTGGTCAATACTATAAGTCTAAGTGCTATTGCTATTGATAAACCACGCAATCACTTAATGACAACTGGGAATGCCAGGATTACAGGCATTGAATGAAGCACTCAAATAATGTCTCGCTTAATGACCTCTTCACTCAATGACCAGTATTCCAGTCCTAACTGTGTCATAAGTCAAAAATTACCTGTAGAAACATGTGTAATAAGTGTAACTGTCTTTAAACCACATCTGATGTTTAAATGACTTGACAAGAACCCAAATCTTTTTCTTGTATTTCTTCCCTGAACTGATAAGTTGCTCCGTACAAAAATAGCAGAAACAGCTTTCAATATCCAATATTTAACAACATAATGAACTACAAACAAAATACATGTGGCCCTAGTTATCTGTGATCCCATTACCACTGTTTTGTGAGTTGGTGGTTAGTATATACACACCAGATCATTATCTATGGTAAAGGGTTTTGAATATCCATGATTTTTGGTGTAACGTTCTGTTTGGATGAGAATTTTTTAAATGTTTTTATATATTTTACACAAGAGCAAAATGGCAAACAGACCTTTCCATTATTTATGAGGTATATCTTTTCAACATCCCATATGGTTTCATTATCCATGATTGTTCAGCTTGAACAAAACCCTAGCAAATAAAGAGAGTCATCTATATAATGAACATGAAACATAACTAAATTCTTATTTATTCCAGCCAATTAAAACTCTTATATTGCGCCCACCATATTTTGCATTGGTTCAATTCCAATACGAGTATTCTGTGGCATTTTCTCTTTACAATATCATAAAGAAAAGGGGCTAACTGTTTCTTTAAATTCCCAATTTCTTAAAGTTTATGTCACCATAGTAACAGTGAGAGCAAAATATATTTTTCAAAATTTGTTCATCATTCTATTTAATTCCTTTAAATCAGTGTTTTTCAAACTTGGCAACTTTTAAAATTTAACCAGCCAGCTGATTTAAGTTAAAAAAATCTTTATGAAAACAAGTTAAAAGTTTATGTATCGGCCAATATATCACACAGGGATAATTATTTCTGGTATATTCCATACCAAAACTATTAATAATAGCAATAGCAATGGACTATTGCTATCATGGACTTAATAAATGAAATAGCAGTTAAAAATATGGATGCAAATACCACATGAGAATGTCTAACTTGGTCAAATGAAAAAAAAACAACCTCAACTTTTCCATTGAGATTGCAATGGATCTTGGTTTCATGGATCTTGGTCTTACGTGCTCATAAAATTCTGCCATCTCCTTCTAGGTGCCGTTTTTCTAAGAATTTGACACTTACCAGAACTGTAACTGTAATCCTTACACTGAGGGATCTGAATGGTGAAAGCTAACCAATCTGGAGCAAAGAGTGACTCTGGCTTTCTGCTTTCCTTGAGCCATTTGCTATTGTGTAGGTCTCTGGTATCGGATGGACCTTGTATTAAAGGGATGCGCTTCTCCTTTCCACCATCACCTGGATAAATGATTTAAAAAAATATTAGAGTGCAAGGAAGAGATGTTGAACAGAATATAATAGCATCATGTATTACAATTTTAAAAATCAGATAATATAACTTTTTTCTATTAGTAATACCAAAATAAAGCATTTGACGTAAGACTTTGTTAATAATAGCAATGTGTTAACTATATTATTTATTAATTAAGCAACAGCAAATGATGCATAGGCAACAAAAGATTTGCAGTACTTCAATCAGTAACATGCACTAAATAAAATGCATAGGAATAAACGCTGCAAAAATTTAAAACACAAATACATTTGAAGTTTCAATAATGAATTATATAAAATGTATGTTCTATGGAACATAAAGTGAATTATAATTCGTAGCTTTCTTAATAATAACTATTTTAGAGTACTGTGGTGTTTAACAATTGTGAATTGTTTTGAATTTTCAATATTTATGCATAAATATCACCTAAAACATGATCTGTTCTCCAAACAAGTCCTAAAATAAAACAAGTAACTTCAAATCATTATATTGTTTATTCATTTAATGTTCATTTTTCATTGAATAAAATGATAGAAAGCTACCTACTTGTGAGGGGCAAAAAATTGTGAAACTCTAGGATTGTTATGAGTTCATATGAAGGTAAAATTAGAGTCAGATGCTTCAATCAATGGGATGATAATCAGATGTGAGTGTGGGAGGTTCTACTTTATTCGCAGAACTGAATTCTGGATATTCACTATCAAAGCCTGATCTTCATGACAAAAGTATGTGGAAGTATGTCATGGCTTGAATGAAGGAGATTTCTGAGGGCCTCTGGAAAATAGTTGTTGATCATCACCAGGTTGAAAATCATTATAAAACTGTTTCCAAAAAGTTTGGATCGCCAGTCCACTTGTCAGGGAGATTGGGTACAAATGAAGATACCAGGATCTTGCCAAGAACATGATTTGCCATATATTCTCTGTACTGTTGCTTCCCTGACATGTGTATAGGTTTCACATGAGGACAACAAAATGTTCTAGGATCCTCATTTTTTTTAAGCATATTCCATGGATTGATGTAACTGACAAAATCAAAGGAATGTTTATAATCAATGAAGTGCATACTTTCTTTATATTCTCTGGCCTTTTCGAATATACAGTACGCATCATTAATGTCTCATGTTGGCCTTTTCTAAATCGAGTTTGAACATATGGCATAATTCTTCCATGTAGGAAATAGCAATAGACTTACATACCACTTCACAGTGCTTTACAGCCTCTCCAAGTGTTTTACAGAGTCAGCATATTGCCCCCAACAACCTGGGTCCTCATTTTACCCACCTCGGAAAGATGGAAGGCTCAGTCAATATTGAGCTGGTGAGACTCGAACTGCTAAACTGCTGGCAATCGGCAGGTGGCAATCGGCAGTCAGCAGAATTAGTCTGCAATACTGCATTCTAACCACTGGGCCAACAAGCAGTAGTGATCCAATCAAGTTTAATGATCCAATCAAATCCAGTCTGTTTTGGATGACTCTAAGCATTATTTTGCTAGCATACAAAAATTATGTATTTATGTATTTTATACATAACTATGAGAAGACTATGAGAAGACTATTTTGTATGATAGTCTTTTCACTCTTTAAGTCTCCGGGGTGGGGGCAGGGGAATAGTAGAGTATAGATTACCATTTCCAACCTGTTGGCCACTGTGTTATTCTCCAGATTTCTAGCATAGCTTGCTTAGAACCATTATTGATCTTTCTTCTGTTGCTTACCATATTTCTGGGTGTATTCCATCAGTTCCCATAGTCTTCCAACTTGGCAATGAGCATGGTGCTGATTTAAATTAATATTTTAGTACAAGAGGCTTTTGTAAGTAGAGAATAAAGTACCTTAGTTGTTAATACCTTTCTTCTAAGATATCTTAGTCGTTAACATCTTTACTATATAGAATTTCAGTATAATTCTTCTTTATATTCCATCTCTTTTTCAACTTCTTTGAATCTGTGCTATCTGTCAATTGGCATCCTTTAGCATATCAATTTAAAGTTAGAACCTCCTTCAGGGATCTTTTGGAAAACTTTTGTTGCTTTTTCATTCTTTCCATCTTTCATCTTTACTGTTTTTACATCATTGCTTCTTGACTCTTCCAACAACTCTCTGAAATTCTTTGTTACGTTTCTTTCTGAGTCTTTTTTTCATTCTTGACTTCTCTTCTTTGCAATTTTCACTTTTTGTTCTCATATTCAATTTGCTTATTTCTGTTTCCTTATCTTTGGCAGTCAGTTTTCTCATTCATACACTTCTGCTTCTCAATAAGGTTCAGGATTTCAAAGCGATTTCTGATGTTCTCTTTGAAAATGATGGGTATATGCTTCAGACTGTATTGTGGAAATTTGTTGGCTTTCTTCTTTTTCTTTGGCTGAATTTCATGTGAGCAGTTTTGATCTGTTCCATAATCAGCACTTGGCCATGTATCTGATACTATAACTGAACTCCTTCACCTACTTTTAACAATCATGTAATCAATTTGATTTCTATGTAAGCATCTGGTGATGACCACGTATATAAGTGTCCTTCTGATTATTTAGATACAGTATGAAGAAATAATTGGAGTGGGATAAATTGTTAATTTATTCTCCTGCTTCACTTTGATTTCCTATGCATTGCAGTGTACCTACGTTTTTTCCAAATCTAGTCTCCAATCACAAGCAGCACATCCTGCTTGCATGTTCTGTTGATTTCAAATTGAAATTGATAGTAAAATTCATTGACCTCCTCTTCTTACCCTTTCCATGTCCTCCCCTCCTATCTAGCAGTTAACTGGAAGGATCCCCGCCCTATGATTGCATATTTGAAGGAAGAGACAGTCCATTAATACATCCAAAAAACCATATCCTGAAGTTGAAAACAACGTAAGTTAACACAGGAATAGAGTCCATTCCATTTTAAATAAAAACTTAATATTAAATATTTCATCACTTTAATTGAAATAATAATGTTCAGAAATCATCAGCCACTTGCAGCTGAAAGTTCAGGGTGTGTGTGTGTGTGTATGTGTATGTATATATATTTAATTAGCAGTGATAGGAGTATTCTTGTTACTGAGAATGCAATGCTTCATCATCCAAATTTGTTTTCAAAAATAGAAATTAAAACATAGATTTGATTCATGGGAACAATACTAAATTCTTGTTTCAGTAATCCTTCTCAGGAAAAGCAAGACAAACTCTACTAAATAGGCCATCAACTTTTACATAGTCCAGCTGCACATACCTGGGGCTTTGGCACAAATTTTTATTGATCCGATGGTTCCAGAGGCACATTTGACCAGCAATGTGCTACAGTACTTCAATTCAACATTTTGGATTGAACCCTCAAGACTCGGCTGAGGATTCTTAGTTTTCACACCTAATAAAAAGAAAAATGTATATGCCTGTGAATTCAACCTATTTATATTTTTCATCAAGACAGTTAAATATTACAATTATTTACTTTCAATACACTCAGTTAACCCAATAAAGCTCAAAACGTAGCACTGTTAGTTAGCTGGCTACATATAGCTAGCTTTGTGCTCATGTTGAACTTCTGGAAAGATTTGTTTCTCTAGCTACATTTATGTATAATTTCCCAGAGTTAAACCAATTAAAATAATAGATTACTCCTTGAAACCATACAAATCAGTTACAAAATATAAATTAAATTTATGCAGCTGGGTAGCACAGCATGTAACAGAAGTTGTCATCCTTTTACAAAAACAATGTTGAAATTACATGAGGTCAAAAGTGAAAATAGGTTTGGTGGTCTCTTTTTTCTCCCTGCACGTCCAAGGAAGCCATTTGCCACAATTTTAAAACTTACTGGCAGCCATTCCTGAAGAGAGACCTGAACTGTAACAGTGGGAGGTGTAACAGGTCAGAAGCATGGAACTCTGGCACAGTTGCACAAGGAAAGCTCAGTAAACACCCACCCACATTACATTGGGATGTGGCCATTCATATTATTTCATCTTTTCTATATTCAAAACTACGCTTATTCACTCTATTTGCAAAAAAATAGTTTCAGCACCTGTTTTTGAAAAGTAAATAAATGTCAAAAAAATTTAATAGACCCCAATTCTTAATTGGAAGAAAGATTTTTTTTTAAAATGGTCAGCTTTGAAACAGAACTTTCTTTGTTGCATCTCATGTTTTCAGTTGGCTCAGCAGTCTTTCATATCAAATCCAGTTCCATAAAGAAACAAAGTAACCATATGATAATTATTATTCTAAGTAATTTTTCTGATTCTTCAGCTCACATTACTTTATTCAGTTTCACATAACATTTTTTTTTTAAATTTCAGAAAGGAAATATTCCAGTTAAACGTGGAAAGGGGTCCAGAAAAAATTTGCATATACATACCTACATTTTCACAAATTCCTAAACATTGAAAGAATTCATAAGAGGGCAACCATATTTCAAAGGTATGGATAAACATGAAAATTCTTTTTAAAACATTACTTTTAATGTTTAATCTATATAAAACACTTTTTCGTGTATCATTACTTGAAAACATAAGGAGGTTTCCACAACTCAATGATACTGTGAACTATAGCAGTTTTTCTCAACCTCCAACAATTTTAAGAGATATGAACTCTCAGAATTCTCCAGCCGGCATAGACAAGTACTTAGACCAGCGGTTCTCAACCTATGGGTCGCGACCCCATTTGGGGTCGATCGACCATTTCACGGGGGTCGCCAAGCAAGGCTGTCCGCCATTTTTTCCCCTTTTCCGGTGGGTGCCTTACCTCCCTTGGGCTGGGACAGCTGGTAGTCGGCCTGCTCCGTCTCTGCCGCTTGCCAGCTACGCCTCGGCTGGCACAGGGGGAGGAACCACGCATGCGCGGTGCTCCCGGGCAGGAAAAGTCCTCGAATTACGACCGGTTGGGTAGTCCTCGACTTACGACCGGTTTAGTCCTCGACTTATGACTGGTTTAGTCCTCGACTTACGACCGGTTGGGGGTCGCGGCATTAAAAAGGTTAAGAACCACTGACTTAGACCAAACCCAATCTACTGAATCAAATGGCATCCTGCTGAAATATTCTGCTAAGCAAATAAATAGCCATTTTCAACCAAAATAATGTCAACTTGATATTGGAAGATGAGCTCCTCCAGTTGGAAGAGGAAGAACAAAATGTAACCACAAACAGCTTTCTGTTTTCTGTTGTGGCTCAGGCAGAATGGGCGTGCTTCAGATCCTGTCGGCAAAGAAATGCCACTGGAAGGGGCCTAGAAGATTTTCTGCTATAATGCCCACCTTATGGAACAGCCTCCCAGGATGGCACCAACCTGCTGGCTTTCATAAAGATCTGGTTCTGTGCCCGGACCTGGGGCCTCAAGTATGTGCAGGATATAGTTTAACGGTTAATTTAGTCATAATGATGAGTGCTTTATTCTTAGCTGCTATGTATTTTAAAGTTTGCATTATTTTATTTTATTTTTTAAAAAAATTGTTCACCTGCCCAGAATTACTTTGTTGAGATGGATGGACATACAAATTAAATAAATAAATAAAACTCCCCCAATTAAATAAATTGCTCCCATTTAAATAAATAAATTGCTTCCAGCATCAGGACCCAGTTAAGATACAAGCCACCACATTCTGAACTAATTATAATTTTGGTGTAATCTTTAAAGATGAGAGCATGTGTTACTATCCCAAGGTCCTCTTGTAGCAGGTAAAGATGCAATTTATGCACCAGTTTGGGAGAGAGGATAGTCTAGGTAGCATCCTATACACACCTTCCCAGAGTTCACAGGCCAAAAAGAATCCTAGATAACAGGCAAGATAACACTATAGGCTCTATCCATGCAGAGACACGTTTGCAGTGAATTTACTTTCAAAAATGACAATCACACCTAAAATAAATAACATTAATTTTTAGTTCAAAAAATAGCAAACTCCATGAGTACATTTAAAAAAAACCAAATCTGGCATCCTCTTGATTCACTAATACCAATTAAACCATTTATTTAGTTAATGAACTCATTTTCTCTACAATTCTAGGCAATATATAAGTCATTGGTCATACAGTATGTTTTACTATCACCAAAAGTATAAACAATATGACACAATTAGCTTCCAGGAATTTCTTTTTCATTTTTTTAAAAAACTACTCATTTTTCTATTTGGCTTTTAAATTTTCAATTCCAATTACTATTGATTAAAATATATAATAAAAGTCCTTCCAGTTTAAAGATGTAATATGAGACTCAAATGTATTTCTTCCATTTGAAAAAAATTGAAGTTTTACTATATTACAAAATACTGCATAACAGGTGTGGCTAGGAAAAATCACTTTATAACTTAACAAAACTATACTATTGCCAACAACATTTTGAACAAAAGGATGTACACCACTGATCTCTTTCCTTTCATCTTACCACCTGTTTCTGTAAACTTATTACATTCATTGTTTCCAATTTTAACAAACTACATAATGGCACAAAGGAAAATATGTCAACCCTGGAAATATTTGCAGTTTTTCTGTCTGGCTCATGCAAGACCAGCAGTCTGTTAAAAATATAGATTGGATCTTTTTTGTCTGACAACCACCAAACTGCACAAATTACTTTCTTCCTATTCACCTGTTTGCAGCTGAATTGCCAAGCTGTGGCTGACTTCAGCAAGTCCTACAGGATTGATGACATACGCTGCTGATAAACCAAACAATATGAAGAAATTACAGGCCAACGTTATTGAAAGATGTATGTGCCAGAACCAAATGACAACCATATATATGTGCAGGATGTAGAAAGTGTAACTTTTTGAAACGGAAAAATCTTTCAGAAGTGTTAAATTTGTCATTAAATAAATGACAGGCTGTAGCATAACTTCACAAAGGAGATCCAAA